TATTTTGCTACCAGCAGTATGAACGAATCAACTCAGGATCTGACTTTCACAGTGATTCACACTGTGCAAGGGGGGAGATGATGAGACAATTAAAACGAGATTTTTAGAATATGCTGACAATAGTTGATAAACTCTTGGGTCATTGTGATGTGTGTTTTCAGATGAATTGAAGAGACCAATAAAACATTAGTGGGGCACTTTTCCAGTTACAGATTTACAGATAGGTTAAGGAAAATAGATAAATGAAATTATTATTATTATTATTATTATTATTATTTTTACAGAGAATCAGAAACAAGTACATCAGAAAATGAAGAAAGAGTGCCCTACATTGAGTAGATCTGAAGGAAAGGTTCCAGATGGATTTATCACATAGAAAGTAAAGAGAATGTTTAAAAGTCATGTGTGGTAATAAAATAACAACTGGAGGTGGTAAATGCACTGTTGCAGATGCATTTCTAACAAAACATGCCCCTGGGGGAGGTTTTTTCTAAAGCTATGGAGGGTCTAGAAAAGCTAAAAGTGGAGATGCGGGAGAATGCTGGTAAGGGGGGCCTGTTAATGGAGTGGTTGGTCCAAATTTTAGATGAATGAGAGCCGTTTTGGCCCAGCCATGAGTGCTGCGATAGCTCTAATTCTGATTTCCTTTATCACAATTTGCATCGTACACATCCTTTGGAGACAATGTTGGAAGCTGACGGAGGAGATGGGACTTATGGTGGACCTGACACTGGCCCATGAACTACAGGAAATGCCACCAAAACAGCTGGCACAGTGTGTGATGTATGAAGGAGGGACTGAGGGACCTGAACGGTTCCTAGACTTTGAAGGAGACAAAGATGAGTAATGGACTTTGAGCAACACATACAACATATCAAATGAGCTGAGATATTGAACTGAACATGTTTCATTTGCAGAGTTAAAGGACTACACTAATCACGCATTGATCATGGGGTTAATCACATCCTAATCAAGGGGTTTGTTGCAGGTTGCTACAGTGAAATTAATGGTGTTACCAGAAGTTGAGACTTTTTCTATGCAAATTATATTGTAACAGCGTATCCAGACAATGGATCATCGCCAGGGCACGGGGCCGTAAGATTCTTTCCCTGCGGAAACAGCCCGGCAGGGTTTTCAGTCGTACGCACTGATATAATTTGGAATGATCCTAGCGATGGTATGATGGTGATGAAATTGAACATCAATATGAGCTATTATCCAACCCAATGAACATTGATTATTACACTTCTTGAGAATTGATACCACAATTTTATAACTTTTGCATAATTGGGGTAATTTATATCACAATTTGATAAGGCTGCATAATTCGTATAACTGGTAATGCATTTTGATTTTTGTTTCATGCCATATCCAATGTGTCACATGTCTTGTGGTATTATTAAGTCTTAGATGCAGCAAATCACACACTTAGCATTTAGAATTTAGTGTACATGTTTTATTTTTAATCACGTAAGGATGTTTAGTGTTTGATATGATGATCAGGTTTTTATGAAAGTAAGAACTTTCAAAGGGGGGACTGTGTAGTAGAATCTCTTCATACATTTAGGTTAAGAAATAGAGAGTCATTATCTTTTAGCAAGGAGCTACAAATACTCTAGGTTGGCCTGCTCATGCAGCCTCATGACCCTGAGGTTGTAAGCAAGGCTGTCTTGCAGGGACCAGAACTATCTGTCTGTTGGAACATTTAATCTCTGCGAGAGTTAAGCCGAGTCTAAACAAAGTGTTGAGGGTCAGAATAGTACGACTTGTCATCATGGGTAGCCCTCTGGAGAATTGATATGACATACCCATGATGATAGAACACACACACACACACACACACACACACACACACACACACACACACACACACACACACACACACCTAACAGCATAAAAGGGAGTAGAAGAAAAGCTAGGGAGGCTTCCCTTGGTCTTGGTCGAGACTCTGTTTATCATCTGTACTGATTTCTACATCTGTACAATAAAAGATGCCCAGGCTGTTCTCATCCTGTTCTCATTCTCATCCTGTCTCCTGTGCATTGTTTTACTAAGTTTATGCTGGATTTTCCACAACAGGTGCCAACCTCATAGGTTTGGACCTGTTCTGCGCCCTGGGCTTCTCCATCATGGATAACCTGGGCGCCACCATACTGACGGTGGCCACACCCTGGCTGCACCGCTAGCCAACCCTTTTCGCCAGGCTGGGTTTCCTCACTGCCTTCAACCACCATCCGCTCGTTGATCCAGCTGTGACTCCAGTCATCCAACCTCTGTGGCGGCTCCCCCTCGCCCTGCGAGACGACGTCACGACTGAGCTGCACAAGCTCCTGGACACAGGCATCATTGAGCGGGTGGATGCTTCTCGACGGATCTCCAACCTGGTCGTGGTGAAAAAAAAAACTGGTGGCCTGCAGCCCTGCATCGCCCTCAGGCAGGTAAACAAGGCAGTGATCCCTGACAAGTACCCGCTACCCACGACGGAGGAGCTTTCAGCCAAGTTTCAAGGCTCAACAGTTTTCTCTAAGCTCGACCTCCGACAGGGCTAACTGCAGGTTCCTCTCCAGCCCGAGAGCCACAACCTCACTGCCTTCTTGACCCACATAGGGGTCTTCAGGTACACCCGCATGCCTTTCGGCCTCAGCTCTGCTCCCAGCTCTTTCCAGAAGAACATGACCGCTATCTTCACTGGCATCCCAGGTGTGGTCATGTACCTGGACAATGTCGTGGTGCATGGAGCAACGTCCGACCTACACGATGACCACCTTGCCAAGGTACTCTATGTGCTCGCTCGCCACAACCTCATGCTGAAAAGGGAAAAGTGAATCTTCGCTGCACCAGTCATTGAGTTCATGGCTTTCCGCCTGGCCGCTGATGGCTTGAGCCAGCTCCACTGCAACGTTGTCGCTGTCCTGCGCCTGCCTGAGCCCTCCTGCTCAGGCAGCCCCTCCTTGCTTCAATGTCACTCACCCCGACTGAGCAGAAGTACTCCATGGGGGAGAGGGAGGCCCCGGCTTGTGTCTGGGCATGAGAGCAGTGGCATATGTACCTGTACGGACAACACTTCACACTCCGAACGGATCACCAGGCCCGCACAGCTCTCTTGGCCACAACTGGATCAGGGCACAAGCCACTCTGCCTGTACCAGTGGTCAAAGAGATTACAGGCCTATAACTTCACTACAGTGTTCACACAAGGCAGGGACAACGTATTGGCCAACATGCTCTCCAGAGCCACACCCACCCCCGCGCCCGACACCATCAACGACCACTCTGAGTCGTAGCTGGTCCTCATGCTGCACGGACCTCTCCAGGCTGCTATATCCCTGCAGGATCTCCAGGCAGTGTCTGCACAGGACTCAATCCTCTCTCAGCTGTATACCTTCATCCACGTGGGATGGCCTGCCAAGGTGCCAGAGGAGCTGGCGCCCTACCACCATGTCAGAGATGACCTTTCCTGCTTGAATGATGACTGCGCGGTGAGGACGCTGTGTGCAGTGATTCCCAGCACCCTGCGAGGGCATATCCTGACCATGGTCCACGAGGGTCACCTGGGCGTTGTCAGAGTCAAACAGCGCTGCAGGGGCTTGATCTGGTGGCCAGGCATCGACAGGGACATCGAGACGATGGTGAAGGACTGTATAGCCTGTCTCACCAGCGGCAAGATGGGTCCAACCCCGCCGCCACCTTTGCAGCCCCCCCCTGGCCAACTGCTCCATAGTCCCACATCCAGGTGGACATCTGTGGGGAGCTTCATGGCATCCCCCAGCACCAACGATTCCTCGAGGTTTAACCTCTCCACACCACCCTCAAGAATGGACTGAGAGCACACCCGGCTGATAATCCCCCATTCCCAGCAGCACTGCGGAATACGCTGCTGCACTACAGAGCAACGCCTCATGCTACGACCAGCTGTTCTCCAGCTTTCCTCATGCTGGAACGTGAACTCCAACTTCCTTTGGATCGTCTATGGCCTCCTCAGCAACACACTCCTGCGGTAACAACACCACCCAGCGAGAGAGTGGCAGAGCAGCAGCATCGCATGCAGCAGCATCGCATGCAGCAGCATCGCATGCAGCAGCATCGCATGCAGCAGCATCGCATGCAGCAGCATCGCATGAAGCAGCGCTTCGACAGGTTGCGTCGAGTGAGACGTCCCGCACTCACAGTGACAGATTGGGTCCGGATCCGCAGACTCTGTCGATTCAACAAGCTGCTTTCATTCTGGTCAGCACCACAGCAGATCACTGTGCAGCTGGGACCGTCCACTTTCTGTCTGGCTGATGGCTCAGGGTGGCAGCCAGCTGCCTGAGATGAGTCTCTTCACCGTCAGACTCAAACCAGAAGGATGCAGCTGATCCAGATCACATGGATGTGGACTGGGACTTCCCCCCTGCACAACCAGGGCCCCCGGCAGCAGATCCACCAGTGCTGGATGCACCTGCTGCACCCCTGCATCCTGAGCCACGCCCGGCCCGGGTTTGCCGGAGACCTCCTTACCTCAAGGACTATGTTTAAAAGTTCAGTGTCCACTTTAGTGTAGTGCATAGCCTGTCACGTGGCAGAATAACGTGGCAGAATAACGTGGCAGGGCGATGCGGGAAAACTGGCAGTCTACCCAGTTTATCCAGTCAGGCTACATGTGTTCCAGCCTCTATTAATGTTTACATTGGTCAGTTACTCAAGGTGATCATACTCAGGCCTTAGTAGCTTAGTTAAAATCTGCACAATGTTATACTTGTTTCAAGTCTGTTGTGCTCTTTGTTGAAAGGGGGGGTAAATGTGATATATGGCAGTAAGCCACAGAAAAAAGTCATGAGAGTAACGTCACTGCCGGAAACTAACACAGAGTGCACACAGCCGTTGTCCGTGTGTCATTGGACTGACACTGACGTTTACAAACACTGACATTCTAGAACCCTGAAATTCCGGAACACTTACATTTCAAAACACTGATGTTTCAAAAACCAACATTCTGCAACCCTGACATTCCAAAATACTTGAATTTCAAAACCAATATTCTAGAATCCTGACATTCCGGAAAACTGAAATTTCAAAACCAATATTCTAAGCCCTGAAATTTCCTAGAAATTTTGAAATGTCAGTGTTCCGGAATGTTAGGGTTCAAGAATGTTGGTTTTTAAATGTAGGTTTTTAAAAGTAAGGGTTCTAGAATGTCGGTTTTGAAATGTCAGCATTCTGGAATGTTGGTTTTGAAATGTCATTATTTTGTATTGTCAGTTTTTCTGGAGTGTTACTGTTCTAGAATGTTGGTTTCTAATGGTCAGGGTTCCAGAATGTCAGGGTTGAACACTGACATTTCTAGGACCCTGACATTCCGGAACACTGACTATTCCAAACATTGACACTTCAAAACTGACATTCCAGGAAACTGACATGTCAAATCCGACATTCTAGAACACTGACATTCTGAAACACTGAAGCTTCAAACCCTGATATTCCTTAACACTGACATTTCAAAACAGTGACATTTCAAAGCTGACATTCTAGAACCCTGACATCACGGAACACTGAAATTTCAAAACAAACATTCTAGAACCCTGACATTCCTGAACACTGACATTTCAAAACACAGATATTTCAAACTGAAATTCTAGAACCCCTTTCATTCAAGATTACTGCGGAATCTCCTCGACTTTGGAACGACCCGCCAGAAGGCGTGCAGAGACAGTAGCTTCTTTTAAGTCAATTTTAAAAACTCACTTTTACAGACTTGCTTTTATGTGATGCCATCTTTTACCGTCTTTTACCCTTTTTCTTTCTCTCCTTTTTCTTTTACCTCTTTTACCTCTTTCTTATTTAGACTTACTGTCCTTTTAGCCTTTGTTTTACTTATAATCTTTTCTTATTTTATCTCTCAGGTCCTTCATTGATTTTAATGTTTATTTATTTATTTATTTATCTTTTATTCCACTTTATCATTTATTTCACCATCATTATTATTTTATTATGATTTTATTATTATTATTAATATCCTCTTTTATACTTACTAGCCTGCTTCCTGCCCTCCTTTTCTATTTCATTTTAAGTTTTTGTTTTGGTCCTCATGGTCCCATTTATTTTGTAAGGTTCTTGTATTGCCTGGGTTTCTTATGAAAAATGAAACAGGCCTTCAATTCAGAGGCCTGTTTTTAACTGAGCTTTTGTTTTTATGTGTTTTTATTTTCATGTGCTGATGTTCTGTGCTTGCAACTGTTGTTAAAGCACTTTGTAAACTTCTGTTTTTAAAGGTGCTATATAAATAAAGTTATTATTATTATTATTATTATTATTATTATTATGATGCTCGGCTCAAACAGCATATCCCCCCCGGATGAGCTACGCAATCCCTGAACGCCCATAGGCTGTACCAGGTGTCAATCATAGAAAACATGAACCCCCTAATAACTGTTAAAAACTGAGCTGTACAGAAAAAAAAAGGACTTGGGCACAAACCAGTCTTACAATAACTACATGTCAACATCACAAGCAGGGGGGAGAAAAATTTATGTTCTGTGTAATAAATTTCTAAAGTTTGTCCACAGTCCCTTAAGCTTTGCTGGCGGAGGCAGGATTTATGACCTGTACTGCAGCCCACCATCAGAGGGTGCTGTTCTCGGAGTGGCTTCACCCAGCGAGAAGGCAGACTCTGTCCATTCTTTATACAGTCTATGGGTTCTCGAATGTCGGTTTTGAACTGTCAGTGTTTTGAAATGTCAGTGTTCCGGGATGTCATGGTTCTAGAATGTCGGTTTTGATATGTGATTTTTTTTAAATGTCAGTGTTCCGGAATATCAGGGTTCTAGATTGTCGGTTTTGAAATGTCAGTGTTTTGAAATGTCAGTGTTCCGGAATGTTAGGGTTCAAGAATGTTGGTTTTTAGATGTAGGTTTTTAAAAGTCAGGGTTCTAGAATGTCTGTTTTGAAACGTCAGCTTTCAGGAAAGTTGGTTTTGAAATGTCATTATTTTGTATTGTCAGTGTTCCGGAATGTTAGTGTTCTAAAATGTTGGTTTCTAAAGGTCAGGGTTCCGGAATGTCAGGGATCTAGAATGTCTGTTTTGAAATGTCAGTGTTTTGAATTTTTAGTGTTTGGGAATGTCAGAGTTCTAAAATATTGGTTTCTAAATGTCAGTGTTCCGAAATGTCAGGGTTCTAGAACGTCGGATTTGACATGTCAGTGTCCCTTAATGTCAGTTTTGAAGTGTCAATGTTTCGAAAAGTCAGTGTTCTGGAATGTCAGGGTTCTAAAATGTCCGTGTTTTGAAATGTCAGTGTTCAAAATGTCAGTGTTTAGAATGTCGAATTTGAAATTTCAGTGTGTTAAAATTGTAGGGTTCCAGAACGTTAGGGTTCTAGAATGTTGGTTTTTAAACTTCAGTGTTTTGGAATGTCAGTGTTCCCGAATTTCAGCCTTCTAGAATGTTGGTTTTAAAATGTCAGTGTTTCGGAATGTCAGGGTTATAGAATGTTGGTTTTGAAATGTCAGTGTTCCGGAATGTCAGGGTTTGAGAATGTTGGTTTTGAAATGTCAGTATTTTGAAATTTCAGTGATCTGGAATGAAAGACATTCTAGAATTTCAGTTTTGAACTGTCAGTGTTTTAAAATTCTAGGGTTCCAAAATGTTAGGGTTCTAGAATGTCGGTTTTGAACTGTCAGTGTTTTGAAATGTCAATGTTCCAGAATGTCAGGGTTCTAGAATGTCGGATTTGACATGTCAGTGTCCCGGAATGTCAGTTTTGAAGTGTAAATGTTTTTAATATTCAGTGTTTCGGAATGTCAGGGTCCTAAAATGTCTCTTTTGAAAATCAGTATTCCGGAGTGTCATGGTTCTAGAATGTTAGTTTTGATATGTGCTTTTTTAAAAGGTCAGCGTTCCGGAATGTCAGGGTTCTAGATTGTCGATTTTGAAATGTCAGTATTTTGAAATGTCAGTGTTCCGGAATGTTAGGATTCAAGAATGTTGGTTTTTAAATGTAGGTTTTTCAAAGTCAGGGTTCTAGAATGTTGGTTTTGAAATGTCAATATTCCGGAATGTCAGTTTTGAAATTCTTTTTTTTTTTAATTGTCAGTTCTGGAATGTCAGGGTTATAGAATGTTTGGTTTTAAAACACCAGTGTTCTGGAATGGGTTATAGAATTTCAGTTTTGAATGGTTAGTGAGTTTTGAATGGTTAGTGATTTTGAAATGCAAGGGTTCTGGACTGTCTGTGTTCTGGAAAATCGATTTAAAAATGTAAGTGTTTTCAATTGTCGGTGTTCCGGAATGTCAGGATTCTAGAATGTTGGTTTTGAAACGAAAGTGTTTCGGAATGTCAGCGATCTAGAATGGCATTTTTGAAATGTAAGTGTTTTGAAATGTCAGGGTTCTAGAATGTCAGGGTTCTGGAATGTCGGTTTTGAAAAGTCTTTGTTTTAAAATGCTAGTTTTCCAGAATGTCAGGGTTCTAGAATATTGATTTTGAAATGTCAGGGTTCCGGAATGTCAGGGTTCTGGAATGTCGACTGGAATGTCAGTGTTTTGAAATGTCAGTCAGGGTTCTAGAATGTCGGTTTTGAAATGTCAGGGTTCCAGAATGTCAGGGTTGTAGAATCTCAGTTTTTTGAATTTTTAATTTTTTTAAAATTTCAGTGTTCCGGAATGTCAGGGTTCTAGAATGTCGGTTTTGAAAAGTCAGTGTTTTAAAATGTCAGTGTTCGGTAGTGTCACGGTTTTAGATTTTTGAAATGTCAGTGTTCTGGAATGGCAGGGATCTAGAATGGCATTTTTGAAAAGTCAATGTTTTGAAATGTCAGTGTTCCAGAATGCCCAGGTTCTAGAATGTAGGTTTTAAAATGTCTGTGTTTTGAATTGTCAGTGTTCTGGAGTGTCAGGGTTCTAGAATTTCAGTTTTGAATTGTCAGTGTTTTCAAATGTCAGTGTTCTGGATTTTCAGGGTTCTAGAATGGTTGGTTTTGAAAGTTTAGTCTTCCGGAATGTCAGAGATCTACAATGTCAGATTTGAAATATAAGTGTTTTGAAATGTAAGGGTTCTGGTCTGTCAGTGTTCTGAAATGTCAGTGTTTTAAAATGTCAGTGTTCCGTAATGTCATGGTATTAGATTTTTGAAATGTCAGGTTTCTGGAATGTCAAGGTTCAAGAATGTTGGTTTTGAAATGTCAGTGTTCCTGAGGGTCAGTTTTGAAATGTCATTGTTTTCAATTGTCGGTGTTCTGGAATGTCAGGTTTCTAGAATGTTGGTTTTGAAATGTCAGTATTCTGGAATGTCAGGTTTCTAGAATGTTGGTTTTGAAATGTCAGTGTTCTGGAATGTGAGGGTTCGGTAGTGTCACGGTTTTAGATTTTTGAAATGTCAGTGTTCTGGAATGGCAGGGATCTAGAATGGCATTTTTGAAAAGTCAATGTTTTGAAATGTCAGTGTTCCAGAATGCCCAGGTTCTAGAATGTAGGTTTTAAAATGTCTGTGTTTTGAATTGTCAGTGTTCTGGAGTGTCAGGGTTCTAGAATTTCAGTTTTGAATTGTCAGTGTTTTCAAATGTCAGTGTTCTGGATTTTCAGGGTTCTAGAATGGTTGTTTTGAAGTATCAGTGTTGCGGAATGTCAGGGTTCTACAATGTCAGACTTGAAATGTCAGTGTTCCTGAAAGTCAGGGTTCTAGAATCTCGGTTTTGAAATGTCAGTGTTTTAAAATGTCAGTGTTCCGTAATGTCATGGTATTAGATTTTTGAAATGTCAGGTTTCTGGAATGTCAAGGTTCAAGAATGTTGGTTTTGAAATGTCAGTGTTCCTGAGTGTCAGTTTTGAAATGTCATTGTTTTCAATTGTCGGTGTTCTGGAATGTCAGGTTTCTAGAATGTTGGTTTTGAAATGTCAGTATTCTGGAATGTCAGGTTTCTAGAATGTTGGTTTTGAAATGTCAGTGTTCTGGAATGTGAGGGTTCTAGAATGATGAAAAAAAAATAAAAATAATAATAATAATAATTGTGATTTACATTGGCAGCACCAATGCTGAAATGGTTATTTCAAATTACATCATTTACTGGTCATGATTTTTACTAACCCTACTGTCAGAAAGACTCTGGGTGAGTCTAAAACATCCTCTCTCACAGACTCTGGAAAGCAGAGGCTGACTTGACTGCTGCCT